ATTTATCACGAAGTATAAACTGACTTAAAAAATTTGAAAATAAAACTTATCTTTAATTATTATTAATTATCGCTTTTTGGAGTCGTATTTTTTGGAATATTTTTTTTTTTAATTTCTTCCTCTCAATAAGATATCAGTTACGGTATAATTATATAAATGTAAGAAAAGCCAAAAAAAAACAAAATTAATTGAGGCAATAATAATCATACTATGATTTGAAATTAAATATTTTTTTTTACCTAATTCTGAAAAGGTGTAAAGGGAACAATTTTAAAATATTCACATCCCTTAATTATTAAAAAACGAATCTCGTAATGACACATTAACAAGAGAGGCTCTATTATTAAAACACTATACGTGCGAACATAATCAGAGGTGCTGTCATACACTTGACAGCTCCTCAGCGCGGTGACGTCTTAATTTCACCGCGAGCTGTCAGATTTGACAGTCGCGTCAAATATGGCGAGTCATGCGCGATTCCGGGCGCCTTGATCTCGTAAAGTCTTTTAGTGAGTTTATGAGTACGCCACTTACGCCCTTTCTGTACGGTAGTGATAACCTTCGCGAACTCATTGGGGTTTTAGATAAGGTATCATTTTGGGTGTCACTTACATGTGTTCAATTTTAATAACGATAAGGGTCATCTTTTTGCGTGACGAGCAGTTTTTGTGGGAAAATTGAGAGTTAAAGATGAAAGTTTTACTGAAATAATTTACTTGCCTTTTTACTGCCATTTGCACAAACGACCATTAAAATTGTCATTAGCTTAGTGCGACATTACCTTACAAATTTTCAAATTTAGAACAATAATTAGAGCTTAAAATCCCCATCATCCCCACTGCTGGGCTCATGCCTTCCTTATGGATAGTTAAGGAGTACGGGCCATGACCCTCCACGCTGGCCCAATGCGGATTGGTGGGTGTTAACGACTGCAAATGCCGGGACCAACGGCTTAACGTGCCTTCCGAAGCACGGAGTAACTCGAAATAATAATTTTTTGGTCACCCATCCCGTGACCGACCTTATGAAAGTTGCTTACCATCCATAACAACAACCATCGCAGGCCGCGGCGCTTATCCACTACGCTGCCGAACTACTTTCAAATTAAAAATCCCCAATAAAACCTAATGGACTTTTTTGCGACTGGACGTTAAATATGTAATATCTCATTAGGATGCTATGACAGTGACTCTGGCAATTACAATTAATACAACTTCACTTGTATTACAATCTTTACAACGTAAGTAATTAACTCTCACCTCGCTTGGGAACCGCTTGGCTTCAACGCCGTGGAAATCTTTTACGGACATCAGCCCCGCGATTCTATAAAAATCCAAACCCGAATTCGAATTCACTCAGGTATCCTCATTCAATGAGGAAGTTATAAAAACATTAGTTCCCGAAATTTAACTACATGTCGCTACAGTACATTTTTTAATTTCTCCATGACAACCTTCCCGGTTTCCTTTAATGATAAAAGTAAATTAGTTTTCAAATCTCAATGAACAACTTATATTCTATTTGTACTTTTTCGTATTTGTATTGATATTTAAGTTTCGAACTTTGCAAATTTCAGTTTTTGAATATGTTAGTTTATAGGTACGGAAATGACTATCTTTGGTCCATTCGTTTCCTGAAAAAATCAATTTTTGCTAGAGTCGTCATCTAGTGGAGGTGCTTTTAAGTGCTTTATTTTTTTTAACTATTTTCTTTTTAATTCCTCATTCAAAAAGCGGCATCCGCTCAATCTTAAATTGGCAATCGTATCGTGGCATAAGTGAAGTGAGTTTCGAAATTACATACGAATAGAATATCTGAGACACGTATATTCAATCAATTTTGTTTTGTATTTCTATACAAAAAATGTAATCAATAGAATTTCCACATTAAATTACGTGAATTCGTACACATGAAAGAATTCTAATTTGGGTCTGGATTTTTCCAGAATCGCAGGGCAGTATAAAAAATAATATAATATAATGCTATTGGATGAGTGCTCCTGTACCTTTGACCACAATCATCAAAAACAAAATTACTCTTGCTTTTCTTTTCTTGTATAATACATATTTTTTGTAATATTAAATATATATATTTTGTAAACATGCAATTGTTCATTGTTAATGAAATAAGAGGCATTAATTGCCGCTGTCTCCGATATCTATGCTCTTTAAAATATTGTAGCTGTTTTCCCGCGTCTTCGCCAGCGTAAATTATAACCTATGTCGATTTTTTAGACCTATTTAAAAAGTAGTTTCCGAGCCTATTCTGTACAAACATTAATAGTTGTTTCCTCTCTATGAAGGTTTTATTAATACATATATGTTGATGCAATAGGTTCTATCTAAGTAACAAATGAAAAGCAACAATTATTAAATCAAGTCACTGTTACTCTATATCTTTATGTTTTAAGTTCATTTTCGTGTGACCACCTCGTGCCTTTCATTCTTATTGTAACCACAGAGTCAGTACATGAGTAATGTTAGACGAATGTTCACGTGCTCTATGAGCTTATTGGTCTCTACACCGACCAATCACAGCTTACGCATAGCGCATGCGCGGTGACTAATCGTACTGAGGTCTGAGAGGTCGGAAATTGAAGATGCTTATTTGTAAGGTCACAAGGTTCTAAATTTACTAGTGAATTTGGATAAAAGGAAATAGATTACATGAATAAATTGTTTTAGGTTTAAGTATAATTTCAGCTTTTGATGTAAGCTTTTTACAATTTATTACTTTCGGGTCAACAATATAAAGAAATTAATAAGTACATAAAATTATTACGTATCAGAATATGGTACACTTAACAGCACCTAACAAATGGGGAAACGTTTGTGTAATAGAAATCGGATTGAATATCGATGCCATTCCGATCAAAAACAAAAGTCGAAAAGATTTGCCGTATCGAAAAATACTTTATGAACCTGACCGTATCCGGTAGCCCAAACGGACTCGAACGCCTATTCTTTAACTTAACTTCGACTCGGCCACAAGAGACTAGGTATCATATTTGTTTCTTTTGCTATTGTAGTAGTAGTAAGCATTTTCAGTATTTCCATTAATGTCTAATAAACAAGATGGCGCATTGATTTCATTGGCAAAGTACTTACGATGTTCGCCATTCTTATCTCTCTACGATGAATGAATGAATGAATAATTCTTTATTGAACATAAACACCAATAATAGGAAACAATAACACAAAGAACAAATAGTACAATCAGCGGTCTTATCGTTGAAAAGTAATTTCTTTCAGGCGATTTTAGACGAGAACAGAATGGGGTAAATATATTACAATTTCATAATTGAAAAAGAGCAAACATACATAACTCTCGAGTTCTGTGTATATGTGTGTTGTGATATTTCGGTACTTTATGATGTAAGGAATAGTTAAACGTGTTTTGAAAAATGTACAAAAAATCAACAAGCTTTCCTTCTCAGAGATATATTATATTATCAAATATTTAAATGAAATTACATCAATTTTTTTATTATTATTATTTATATCATTGAGTGTATTTTTATAAGTTGGATACCAATATATAATATTATGAATTAAAATACAATGTGCAGGTGGGAAGCATTAATATATACTAATATTATATAGAGAAAAGATTTATAAATAAATACTAAACAACATCACATACATTGCTCAGATTCCAAGATGAGTAGCTAAAGCACCCCTATTATGGAGTATATGAGACAACGAAGGTAACACAACACCCAGACCCGAGACAATATAGAAAAGTTCATTTTCTACATTGACCCGACCGGGAATCGAACCCGTGACCTCAGAGATGGCGACACCTTGAAACCGGCGTGCGAACCACTCGGCTATGTTGGTCTTCAAAAATTTGATTGTTTGTTTGTGTGTTTGCATCAAATATACTCCGAAATAATGGACCGATTTTAAAACTTTCACCTACGCGAAGTTATGTCATAGGCTATTATTTAATAAAGTAAAATATGATCGAGTTAGTGGATCACAAAGAAGTCTAAGTAGTAAATATCTTTGGTTAGTGCTTGAATAGTTGTTAATCCTTGAAGGATCACTAGTATCTTTTATTATATAGTAGTGATTGCCAAACTATTTTAAGCAAAAGATCTTTTTTTTCTAAAAATAAACTGATGCCTCAAATGCAATTCTTTAAAACACCCTAACTCTCTCTCTACAGTTTAAAAACTTATTATTATTTAATAATATAAGCTTTAATAATGTTGAATGAAAAATATATCCAAGTTATTAAATTATTTTGTTATTTAAAAGTGACGGTTTTCAAATGAGGTAACGTGGAAAATAAAAGTGGCACATAGTTTTACAAACATAATTAGTTTATTTACAAATAAAATATTGAGTATTTATAATCAGATATGATATTCACAAACAGTCTACTATTCGATAGCATCTAATAACAATAATTTACATAATACTGGCAGCAGAGTCCTATTTCACAATAATTATTGATTATTTAATTATCTATCACAAAAAAAAATCACATAAAAAACGATGTTGCTTAAAAAAATATCCTTTACGATGGTAACAACCTCATAACTTTTAGTTTTAAAATGACTTAAAAGAAAAAAATCACACTTATAGGTTTCATAACAAATCGTCTTTTACGTGATTGATATATTATACATAAAAAAAATTACAATACTGTTATAGGCAAGATGACTTATAAAACTAAACCGGCAGGACGGATTATACTGGCAAGAATAACTTAAACGCTAAATGCGAATTACCTACTTAAAACTAGCAAGCGTAAGATTTTAAAAACGAAACTCGATCCGACGTAACTCTATACTATATTCAACAATTTCGTCGAGAGAAAATCACTTAAATAAATTTAAACACCTACTTGGTAACATAATGAGTATACTCTGGTATAAAATATCCCTGTACTATTAAAACTTAACACTTCGAAACTTGACAATTCACTATATGAAAGTATTACTTTTGACTTGTTAAGTTATCAAACTAACAAAACCACTTAGTTACCTTTATTTACTGCAATAACTCGTACAAAGCTGCTATATAAGTTTGGGCCATTTGCAATGTTTCGTATTTGGAGAGTTGCCTATCAGCTCCCAGCGAGGGTAGATGTCCACGGAGTCTATCAAAAGCTTTATTGAGGTTCTGCATCCTTCTTCGTTCACGAGCATTCGCTGCTAACCGTCGCCTTCTCAACACAGCCGCACTGGTGGCCCTACCACGCCTTTTAGCTGATCCATCCAATAGTTCATTATCTTCAGCGCTATCCTCTAAAATGTCACGTGATAATCCTCTATAAGCGATATGATTCGAATTGTCTTGAGTCAAACTTCCATCCATAGAAGGCGTAGGTTCCAAACTGGACCTTCCTGAATCAGGAGACCTCGGCCAAGACAGATAACACTCCTCAGTATTGTAATCAATCATCACATCAGTTGGAAACATATCTTTTTCAGTATAGAAGCGATGTCCGTAAGTTTCAGCGGCCATTTTGGAAAATATCAACACAGGTGCGTATCGTTCGGTGTCCCACGGGGGTATGCCATCGGCGCCTACCTGTTTCCCTTATATAGGTTCCCGTTTTGCGGGAAAGGGTGCGGGTTGCTGTCGATTAGCGAGCGAGCGAGACAGAGAGGCTTTCGAGAGGGTAATTTAAGGCCAATCATCATTAATTATTCCCTCCCCCGGGTGCGTGTGCCGATTTTCGGTATTGTTTGATAGTATCCGTTTGACTTATTCGCCGACCCTCGGTTTTGCGGGGCTTATAAGTTCAATTGATGTCTATTGTTAATTACTTTGTTGCAACAATTATATACTTATATTAATAGAATTCTATAAAAAACATATCATTTCAAAAGTAAAATAGATACAAGTTTAACATATGAGCAAAACAAATCACAGGAAATAAACAATATAATATTAAAATAGGAGATTGCATAATATCATTTTAAAACATCTTTAGAAAATAGTGCAATCGCGAGCTTTGTAACAAATTATTGTAAATAAAATTTATGATGTTCTTTAAAAATCTTACAACGTAATGCGTTGAATTCTTTTCTTTGGAAGACCAACTTATTTTATATTCTTGGATTAAATTTGTAGACAAACGAAATTTTAATTTACTTGCATTATTAAAACTAAATTGCTTTATATTAATTTTATATAATAACATGTTGATTTAATATTAAAAAAATTTAAATTAAAAAATTTAATTTAAATTTATTTATTTTAATTAAAAACAGCAGAATATAACAGCATTCTGCTGTTTTTACGAAAACTTACGAAAACTATAAAACAATAGGTCTTATGTATTTATTGCCATCATTTGATTTTAATAACGTATAAACAGTCTTATTATAAAAAGTAACGTACGATAAATCAATACATAAAGTCTCGATTGCCCTGAATACATTTTTTTATGTTTCCAATTTAAAGAATGAAAGAGGTTTTTTAAAATCATTTCATCAGTATTAAAATAATATTGAAACATCTCTTTTTATTCGACTTACAGTTTACGTAACTGATCTCTGGATATATTCTAGATTCTTAAAAGTTACCCTATGTCCTTTACCGAAGTCCACTCCATATGTGTACCAAATTTCATTATAACTGCTTCAGTAATTCGATCTTGAAAACAGACAAACAAATAAAGAGACAGAGCAACTTTCGCTTTTATAGTACATATTAGTATGGATGTAGGTAAAATGTGCACTGCGATTAAGTTTACGCATAAATATTAATTTCCTATGTTTTTTTTTAAATAGGTGCGTACCTGTATACTCAGTACCTGATATTCTGTAATAAAATCAGCGTCGAACTCGACGAGTACAGCGCTGTCAGAGCATAAAGCTTCAATGAAAATAAAATATTCAAAAATGTTTATTTATTTGACCAACCAAATGTGAATGTCTGTTTGAGATAACATTCCTAGTAAGTATATAGAATTTATTATCTTTTGAAATAGGTTTTATATGATTAAACCTCTATGACTATAAGTCGAATTCAGCTTTAATTTAATTACAGTATAGCCTTATTGTTTGTAATTATGCAACACCGAAGTGTACTATATAATTTACTCTTCTTTGTTACTTTTCTTTTGTTTGTCCTTTTTTTTAGAGATTCAAACGGACATTGCACATCCTTGCTTATAACTCTATTTATAATGATATGACCCCGATATCGTAGGAAATTTGATTATATATAGGTAAGTATTTAATTAAAGATTAAATTATAGATTTTGCATAGCCAATTTTCCGTAACAAAAATTATTTCCACGTACTCATACTACCTATGTCATTTAAAGTGAAATATTCATATGAAATTTAATTTCACTATTGCATCATTAATAAATTTCTCAATAAATAATATTATTTCAACCAAAAATATATATATTATAGTATAGGAATCTTAATATCTCAGTACAAGATATTTGAGTATTTTTTCAAACTATTTTAGCTTCTTTCAGAAGTTAACGTAACGTATATAACCACAATATCTTTGCAATTCTGCCAACAATACAGCGTCGAGAACAACATTGTTTTTTTATTACTTTTTTTAACAACGCTATTGCACCATTATAGTTTAATATTTGATAGAACCTACAACGTTATGACAGCGCTGCTTTCGACGATGTATTTTAACAGAATAACACTTCATGTTTTGCGAGCAACAGCGCCGCCTCGTGTGCTGTTAAGTTTTTAATTTTTCTCATGATCGCAAAATAACTTGAGGGCATCTTCAGTTCACGAACCAGTCTCAATTCGACACCGGCCGCTGGGAATCGAACCCCGAATGATACGCTTTCCACTGCGAACGGAGGTGGATGAAACTTAAGACATAGTGTTGTAGGTGGCCCTTTGTGCCATGAATGTAAGAATACTTAAATTGGATGAGGTTTTTTACAAAATTCTAATAGTAATTAATAATATAAAACACAATACAGTAGATATTTTACTCGGTGTGGACTGTTAACATGAAGTTTTTATCACATAATCATAAATCATACACATTTATATAGACAGTTTAATACATACTTTTCTCCATATTACATCCATCCGCATGTGTAATTGTAGTAAAACGTAAGGTAAGGTAGACAATAAAACTGTTCAAGACATATCGAATTGTCAATTTCGAAAGTATGGAAGTATTAGAATATAATGTTAATGTAATTGTAAACACAGGCTATAATTTTATAAAAAGGTTTTGCTTTTTTATATGTGAGACACGTAGCAACCTGTTAACAAATAAATAGTCCCGGCTCGAAGGACCATTATGAAGGGTCATGAGATTTAATAAAATGCGGACTGTATACTATAGGAGCTGATGTAATTTATGTAAATTGCGAAGTTTTTTTTTTGTGCGGTCGTCTCACAGCCAAGAAGTCAAGGAGCCAAGTGGGGCTGCGGTGACATCGCCGTCGTGTCCTTGGGAGTGGGAAGCCGAACGCGCCTCCCACGCTCCAATTTTAGTATTTTAAAGTCAAAGGTGTTCTCAAGCCAAAATAATCTTTATTCAAATAGGCTTCTTAAAAGTATTTTTGAACCGTCCAACATTTTTTTCCTAGCACTCGTTCTGGACGTCTCGGCTGACAAGAAGAATGAGAAAAAAACTGACCAGCTCTAATGGGATTTACCAGATCAATACATTAGTAATAGAGAAAAAAAACTATTATCTTATAATAATAACTTATTAATTTAATGATGGCAACAAGATAATTTTGAGATATTATGAGTTTACATCTCTCATTTATACAGTTCTCATTTATAATTTGGACAAAAAATATTAAAAATGTATCAGCATTTTAAATTATTGCAATAATCAGTATAAACAAAAATATTAAAGTAAAGATGTTTATATAAATATAATTATTTACACGACTCAAAATGCACTCACCGCGTCCATTAGTTACACGCTTAGTAACTCGTGGGTAGAGCATCTTCACCCGGTGGTCCAGTCATTTTTCACATCCCTTATAAAATCACAGCACCATTTTGCAATTAAGAGAATACTTAGATTAGTTTTAATTACAAATAATACATTCTACTTCAATATATATATTTCCTTAAATAATAATAATTCTTATGACATATTGTCCTGTTGAAAGACTCAAACGACAGGAAAAAAATGGGTCGACAACACGTTAACAAAAGGTTACTAAAAGGTTACTTAAACACGGTCACTTCGTAGATCCGTAAAAAGGTTTGCGTCGACAACGATTTAGTTAATAAAATATAATCAAAGCCATAAATCAATAAAATTACACGAAATATTTATCTTATAAACGGAAATCAGAAGAATACTCTATTTCAATTTTATTAAATAATACTTGTAAAATTTTAATTTTTACACTACTCTTTAATTCATTTAATGAGTATCATTCTGAAAACTATAACAATTTTTCAAAAAAATCAGGCGATGTAATCGTTTAAAAGCTTTCTTAAAGAAAAATGCTTAAAAAATCCTGTCGTCATGGGTTCATCGTTTAAAAAATATTTTTATTTAAGCTCATTTAATGCACAAATTAAGTTTAGTAGATAATCGTTTAATATACATCAAAAACCTTATCATTGACAATGAATAATTTTCATTGATAGATTTGTGAAGTAAACATTACTGTATGACAATTATAAACGGTTTAATTTTATTGACCACCAGTTAAAAATTTAGTTGAAATTCTATTTCAACGTTCTATAAAAAAAAAAAGTTTTTCTACTTCGTGTGCTCTTGTCGGAGTAGTCGTGATCGAGGCATCATTGTGTGCGCACATTGCTACATGTATTTATTTGTCACAAACCGAGACTGGTCAAGGCTTCCCTTCAGTCCAGCGTAGCCTCCTCTGAGACCTGATTTACTCTGTCCTGCACTAATCGTTCCATGGCGTCCTAACCTAAATGATAGTTACTAATAGTCGTATGAACATTTAACACCTTGTTGGGTTAAAACCTCATGAAATTTGCTTTTTGCGTATGCCAATTTAATTTTGTATCTCCTAGATTGATTCGTGAACCAACTTTCTTTCATTATTCAATCGATATCTAAAGAAATTTTTTGAATTAACCTTCCGTGGGATAAATAAGCAAAATTAAATAATAAAAATTAGTAGAATTTTCGAAGTATATTATTCATTAAACGACTTCCAATGTAGATATTGTTATAATTTATTTTTTTAAGTAAACAATACATAAAAAAAAAAACTGTCAATCAAATAGCTATGTTTGGAAATATTAAGACTTGATGTTTCCTAAGAAGGGTCAAGAACATCGTCCTTAACCCTCTATTCACGCATCATTAACCCCTTACAAGGATTGGGTTTCGCGAAATAAAAAAAAGAACCATAGCCCTACGCGACCTGTGATTGTTAACTGTAACCTGCGAGTCTTAACATAAAAATATAATATATAGTCTATTGCTCTCACTGGTTCTTTATTTATTTTAAAAATATAATCTTTATCTATAAAAATCTACTACTGTTCGTTTGTTTCGCTAAAACT